CATACTCTCACTTGTAAAAGCCAGAGAGCTTAAATAGATAATCTCCTAGTTAGATTGCAGGTATAGCAGCTAGTATAAAACTCAGGCAGACTACTTAAATAGATAACCAAAAGTTGTATGTGTGGCTAGTTATACTCTCATTATAATTGTAAACATTGTTAATTATCTAATAAAAAGCCCCAGCCATAGAGGTCATCTTAACAAAAAAAAATAAAAATAAAAATAGTTTACAAAATATGCAAAATTTATAATATATTTACTAATAATATACTAATTAATATATTTGTGTTAGTTTAAGCAATAAAAAACCTACAAAAAATTTTTATTTATGATATAGTCAGACTTCGATATAATCACCAGCTTGGAAAAGTTGTGACTATATAAAGGTCAAATTTTATATATTTTGTAATAGCTAGATTAAAAAAAATAATAGTTATGACTATATTAAGAATGACTATAATGAGGTCTGACTGTATTTTAAATACAGTCAGACCTCAATATAATCACCAGGTTGGGAAATAAAATTTGGTAATTATAAAAGATTGTAGCTATATAAAGATTAAAATTTATATGTTTTATAATAGCTAGATCAAAAAAATAGAGTGAAAATAATAAGGTTGTAACTATATTAAGAGTAACTATAATAAGGTCTGACTATAATTGCCAATTCAAATTAAAAATTCTAATACAGTTAGACCTTATTATAGTTACTTTCAATATAGTCACAAACTTGTTATAATCACTATTTTTTTTGATCTAGCTATTACAAAATATATAAATTTTGACCTTTATATAATCACAACTTTTTATAATCACCAAAATTTTGTTTTCCAAGCTAGTGATTATATCAAGGTTTGACTGTATACAGATAAAACAATAAATCTTTTTAACAAGTACTTTTTTAAAAACCTTTGGTATAATATATATCCTTTTTAAATATTTATAAATATTTTTAAAACTTTTAAATTACCTGTGAAAAAGATATAAAAATATTTGAAAAGGTTGCAAATCATACCAAAAATTTTTGAAAAAATATTTATAAAAAAGAGTTATTGTTCTATCTATAATATATTTTATTATAAAACAAATTATTCTACTCTAGCAATTATAAGTAGTGTGACAAAAAAAATAATTTAGCTAGGGAAGTAACAAAAATCAGATAATTTTTTAGAGAAGGAGGAGTGTAAAAAAAGTTAAAACTATATATAAAGACCTGCTCAAATATATAATAGAAAAGAGGGGAGGGGTGGTATGCCTCTGATAAAAAAAAATCAGGTGATAAATAACACTGCCCCTAGATCATATTAGATTCACTTTTTTTTATTAACAATTATTTCACCAACAACTCACTTAGCCAACATTACACCAAGTAACAATTTACTAAAAAAATATAACTGCAACTAATAAAATGCTAATTTTAATTCTTTGTAATATCAGCTAAGTAAACTTTTAGTAAAAATAATTGTTAATTAAGTAAGCAGTATTAGATTAAGCGAATCAGTTAATATTTCTTTTTTATTCACAAATAACAATATTTTCACCAATAAAAAAAATTAAAAAATCTAATAAACAAAATTTTTTATAAGTTTGAGCTTTATATTAAATATTGTATTATATTGTTTTTGCTTATTTTTATAGTAACATGGCTATAAAACAAAAAAAAATTTTTTTTATCTAAAATGGTTTTTATTTTTACTATCTAGTATAACTATCTCAAGCTCTAATTATATATGAATTTATTCTAATATTGAACAAATTAGTCTTTTGCAAGTTTCAATATTAATTACTTGCCAGACCTCTTGAATTTTTTGCCAAATACTAACATAGTTTAAAAAACTAAAAAAATAGTATTTAAAAACTTATAAACTAGAAAAATTAAACAGTACTTGTAACATAGTATAAAAAAGATATTTTTGCAAATTAAAAAAAAAAACAAAAAACAAATCTTAAAAAAAAAAAATAAAATAAATGGATTCTAGCCCTAGACAAAAAACACAAACAGATATTTTTGAGAAGAATTAATTCTAAAAAATAATAAAAATTACAAAATAGAAAGAAGATAACAAAAAAATCAAAATCTTCTAACTAATACCAAAATAATAAAAATAAATAAAAAATTTATCTAAAGTACTCAAAATTAATTAGAATAATATAGCTAATATTATTTAATAAATAAATCAAAGCTTAGAAGCTAGTACAAAGATATTTAAAAAAAATTATAGTTTTAGAAAATACTTAGCAAAATAGTATTATTGAAAGTAATTTAATAGATAAAATAAAAATAAAAGATTAAGATCTAATAAATATTAACAAAATAATTAAAAGCAAATATAAAAAAGTTGAGCTTAAAAAAGCTCTTTGCAAAAATAATAGTTATCTACTATACAAATAGCTTACTTGGGGGTAGAAATATAAAAAGTTATAAAGCAAGTTATAGTATAGTACAAATAGATATAATAAGAAATAAGAAATTTATATATAAAATTAAAGAAAAAATTAAAAATTAGTTTTCTTTAAATCTAAGTGCATCACAATTCTAGTAATATTACTAATCTTTTCAACTAGAAGTAAAGTAGAGATATATACTAATAGCTAGATAGTAATTTAAATTATAAAAAAACTAAGCAAACCAAAAATAGCAAAGTATAGTATAAAATTAAAAATGCTAAATTAGTAAAAAAAAAATAGATAAGACAATTAAAATAAAATATTTAGCTATAAATCTAATTAAGATTAAGGCTCACTCTAGTAGCTAATACAATAAAAAAACAAATACTTTGACTAAAAAAAGTCTAAATCTTCTAAAAGCTACAATCTATAATACAGAAAGTGTTCAAGAACTAGTTATATAGCCAACATGATATAAAAGAAAAATTGAAGTTCTAATAAGACAGTTTATTAAAAAAATACATAATACTTTTTACAAAACCAAATAAATTTTTATCAGAAATTAAAAAGATAAAAATTATCAAAAAAGAAACAAAACAAAAGATTGAAAAGTATTTACAAAATTCTAGAGAATTATATACAAAAAAAAGAGTATATAATCTAAAAAAAAATAAAAAAATAAACCTTTAAAATTAATACAATTAATTAAACTTTATCTACTTTTTAAAAAAGAAAAAAAGATCATAAAGTTATTTATAAGGAAATTACTTGTTGCAAATATCTAAAAAATATAGAAACTTTTAAACACCTTACTGTATATGTAGCAAATTAAAAATTATAGAATACTGAAATAACTAATATAGTTCAAGAGATTTAAAGCTCTTTAAAAAAAGAAAAACAAAAAAAAGCTAGTATCACGTAGTTTCTAAGACTACTTTGTATTTGTGGGTCTTTACTATTAGCTTTCACTTGCTTGGCTAACTTATATAACAACTGGTATATCATACCAAATACTACTACCAATAATGCAATCACACAGATAATACAGTTTATTCACTAAGAATTCAAGTTTAGCATTTTTCTATTTGGATTATTGTCTTATATTTATTACTAATTGCTAATAATTACTACATTGTTTATACAATTACTAATATTACTAATCATTAATTACTATATTGTTATGCAATTACTATTTTAGACTTTTAGTTAAATCATGATCATACCATTTATGAAACTCTGATTATGATGTTCAATCAACATGTACTCGATTACTAATCACATGAATACTTATAGCACCACGATACAAACCAAAACCCCAGTAACTTTATCTCTAAAGTTATATCTATTCTACTAAGTTTTCTTATTTTAAAATGACTACTAAATACTGTACTAATCAATTTTTTAGAACTATACCTAACAATTTGATCCAAGTACAATTGTTTATAGAAATTAATTTTCTTCACATTATACTTTGAACTCTATTTTGCTTTTCGATCCACAATTACTTTAACACTATATATCTTAATCATATAGTGTTCTGACTTTCATAGCTATACAGAATCTCTAATCTTATTGTTTATAAATATCATATACTTCTTTATCTGTTGCTTTATAAGAGAATCATAGTAGTTGTTATTCAAAGTTCTGCCTTTATCATTCGCAACTCCATTATTAATTTTAGCTCTACAATCTGAGCTAGATCTTCTGAATTCAATGACTTTCTCATTATTATGATTATTTTTGTATACCTTTTTTATATCATTCCTATTGTTTGCATTATTAATGTTACATTTAGTTTTCTTCACTATTTTAATAAATTCCTCATTATCACATCCATTTTTATAACTTTATCTATTAATACTTCTATCATTATTACCAGTTTATTTTGATAACAATTTCTAATCTCAATTATTCTATTAATATTATCTATACCGGTAAATCTTTCATTACCAATTTTATTTTTATAGCAATTTCTGAATTTGTTTTGTTCAGTTGAACTACTACATTCTAATTTTTCATATAGCATTTAAATGCATTTACATTTTCTGGTTCAGTATCCATTAATTTATTTAAATTGGTAAGTAACTCTTCAGATTAATTTTTCTATTTAGAAACTTCTTCTTGATTATATAATGCATTTATATCATTTTTGCTATTACTGATTCCAGCTACATTTTGATTACTAGATGCAAAGTTATTTGTTCTATCCTTTTCAATTGCAATCACATGTTGATAATGCTATCCAACTATATATATTTCTTCAGTATAATTACTCTTTACTAACTTACTTTTAACATATTTTATATTAATACTAGAATTTCTCTTTTTGCTCATCATGCATCTAACATCTACTAAATCATATTCTATTCTATTGTTATTTTTGTTAACTACCTTTATACCTTTTGCAGGTTAATTCTCTATTATGAATATTGTTTTTTTATGATCTGACTTAATCACATAATAGTACTGCCCATTTTTCCATTAAATATTATAGCTAGATTTCGCAACCCATAGTATTCCAAGAACTATATTAGAAGTTAAAGTATGTACAATATAAAATATTTGATATGCACTAATACTACACACATCAACCTTAATGTCAGGAATGTATCCAACAAACTCATGACCTATGTAGTCATTTTTATTGATATATTTCCAGATAAGGCCTCTTTTCCTCACATATTTAATGTGGCAGATCATAATAAAATCGAATTAAAATGAAACTGGTGACCTTTCTTGCTCATCTTTAAAGCTTATAAAACCCACTTATACTTTTTTATTAATAAAACTAACTCTAAAAACTAATCTTAACACTAACCCTAACTTTAAAAAATGTCTCCCAAAAAAATTTAAATTTTTCTAAAAAAATAGAAAAAATTTCATTTTAATCTGATTTCATTTTAATCTGCCACATTTAATACTTATTTTGTTTATACTTGAACTAAATCTAATTAATGCTTTTGCCACTTTTCCATTTATTTTTACAAATATTCTTCTTATTACTAATTTTATTTTTTTCTTCACATGTTTAATTCTTTCATCATTAATTTCAATATCTATTCACCTCATATTGGCACAACTATTACCAACTTGATATTTTTGTATAAAAGACCTAGCAAGATGATCTGGTTTCTGATAGTTATAATACATCCAAGATCTTCAATGTTTTACTTGCACTGTCTTTAAGTTATTTACAACTTTTTTCATATTAACTTAATTATCTTCTTAATTAAAAGTACCAAACGTTTTTTATTTTTTATTTTCTTTATTTTCTTAAATCATTTTATCTTATATGACATTTGCTTTTCAACTTATACTTGAAACACAACTTTTACTTTCTTGGTTCTTAATAACCATTTTACTTAGTATTTTACTAAAACTTGCAACTTGATATCCATGCAGTTCAATGAGGGTATTGCTTTCTACCCAGGTTCTTATATTATGTAGTTTCTAAGACTACTATATATTTATAAGTCTTTACTATCAATCTTTACTTGCTTGGCTAACTTATATAACAACTGGTATATTATACTAGATACTATCACCAATAATACAATTACACAAATAATACAGTTTATTTACTAAGAATCCAAGCTTGGCATTTCCCTATTTAAATCAATACTTTATAATTATTACTAATCACTAATGATTACTATATTGTTCATACAATTACTAATATTACTAATTATTAATTACTATATTGTTTATGCAATTACTATTTTAAACTTTTAATTAAATTATGATCATACCATTTATGCAAACTCTGATCACAATGTTCAATCAACACATACCCAATTACTAATCACATAGATATTATATAGCACTGCAATACTAGAAAAGTTGTAACTTCAAAGTAGAGATGGGCACGCGCGTGATCCGCGCGTGATCCCGCGCGTGATTCCGCGCGGGATGCGCGGGATTATTTTAGA